TTTTTTTTTTTTTTTTTTTAATATTTCTGTATTTCTGTTGAACCACAATTCAAAAGCAATGTGATGATTTTCATTACATTTTTATTTATTATTACTTTTGTCAATTTCAACTTATTTCAGTAACAGCTGTTTTTTTCCTTCTTTGATGGGAGGGCATGAATACATTTGAGGACGGCTGTATGGACACCGGAAAACATGGTGGTGACATCTGACAGCAAGAAGAAGAAGAGCTATCTCAAAAACAGCACGTGTAACTGCTCAATCACAATAGCACCAAGGATGGGAAATACAGCATGAATATTTCTATTTTAAATACATATTGCAGCTTAATTGTCTTACAGATGTGCAGTTTGTTTGCTTGTACAGTCCAGTCAGACTCTTACAGATGATGGGCAGATGATAAAACTTATGTGTAATGGACCCTCATGGACACATATATATGAAATCAATGAACTGGCTTTAAGTTGTGGACAGCAGCTGATTTGAATAATCGTTTAATACTGTTTGATATTATCGCTTCAACCATCCTGCTTGACCCCCTGAACTTGAGAAATTCAAAACGAGCATTAATGCAGAAAAAAAATACAGTACTTTGTAAAAGTTTGAGGCATTAAAGTAAAGCAGGAATGCTTTCAAAAACTAATGACACATATAGCTTGTATTTGTGAATCAACTCTAAAGTGCAGTGAAGAGAAAAAATAACTAAATTCAAGGTAATGTTTGTTTTGAGCACCAATTCCGCTCGGCAAAGTTGCAAAGGGTACTTATATATTACAGGCACAATCGGCAGCATCCAGTGTTTGTGCTTCCCACACACAAACATGTTTTGTATTGGCAGTACGATGCACTTTACCGCCACTGTCTCCGTAAGACTTTAAGATGCAGCAAGACAGCTTAAATCTCCTCAGATCCCTCGCTTTCATCCCCCCCTCTTTGAGCGTGTGTTTAGATTCTTAGTCGGGGTGGTATGGAAAGCTGTAAACTTCTGCTCAGGTATTTTAGGTATTTTCCCAAGTGTCTGGAAAAACTGCTATAATTAAACCGCTGGTGGAAGGGAGGGAAAAAAAACCCACCCTAGATGCATCTGTTATCAGCAGCTCCAGGCCCTGTTGCTAATCTGCCTTTCCCAAGCAAGATCCCTAAAAACCTGCGTGCAGCCAATTGAATAAGTACCTACTCTCAAACCATCTGTTTGACATTTTCCTGTCTGCTTTCCCCGTCTCGTGTTGGGGTCATAAATGATCCCCGTATGAATACAGATTCTGACAAGCTCCTTATCCTTGTACTTCTCGCTGCTGCTTTCGGTATTGCTGATTGTCAGATACAGTATCATTTGGTAGTTATGTGGGTTGGACCTTCGGTTGCCGAGTCAATAGCGCCGAGCATTGTTGTTTTTTTTTTCCTTTTTTATTGTGAGCCAGGTTTGATAGGATCACTGCTTTATTGTATGAAACACTCTGACATACGTGACCCAAACGTTCCTCCCATAGGTGTGTTTCCTTCTACAGCTGGCTCTGCTTGAATGTATAGAATAAACTATGTGAACTCTCAGAATAACACCGCACAGGATGCTCTGCTTTATAAACACAGGCTGTAAATAATTTTGACCGCAGTTGTTTTGCCAGGGCTTTACAGATATGAAAACGGTTTTTAAAAGTAAAGGCAAAGGTAGGCAATCTGCCCGGAGCTCTGTGTGTAACCTTTGTCTCGTTCGGTCCAGGTTCTCTTCTGGGAGGAAGGATCTCAGCAGAGCGACGCAGACATCGTGAGGGTTATCAACAGCACGGCTTTTCTGTCTGGCTTGAAGGGCAGCACGGTCTATCTGATCTCAGTCAGAGCCCAGAACAGCGCTGGACTTGGACCCTGCAGCCCTTCTTTTAATATCACCACCAAGAAACCACGTGAGTCCACACACAGCATGCAGACATGCGATTTGTTTGCTGAGACCAATTTATTTCTCCGACTTAATGGTCTTTCCTACAGATCTATTTTAATGCAATGCACACTTCCCATACTCTGTGCATGCTGGAAGAGTTACTGGTCTTTGTAGTCAGTCTGCCAGTCCATACTGGCCATATGGCACCAAAGGAGAAGAGAGGAGTTTGAACTCTATAAGCACACACACNATCTGCAGTGTTTTTACATTTATTTGTAGTTTTACCTCCAGATAGTCGGCACTGCACTAACGTGTATGAGCTGCATACTTTAAAAAACAGCTTCCATACAGTTTTTGTTCTCCCCCGAGAGTCGCTCCTTAGTGGCATTTTTTGTCATCCGTAACTCTGTTTGGAGCAGCTGCTTGAATGGTATGAAAGGAGCAAATCGACTGGCTGAGAGGATAATGATTCATCACCACACCTTTCAGATTATCTCCCTCTTCATCAAACCCATCATTCAACACGCCGCTTCACCTACGTGAACATAAATAGCACGAGCACTTAGATATCTCAGAGTGAATGCACAAGACCTAATTGCAGCTCCAAGTGTTGACAGACTGAGAAACTATAAAAAAAAAAAAAAGAAACGCATCAGCACACTACACATCGCTTAGCGGTTTAAATTGCAAAAGTTGTCATCGCCATCAGAGGTGTAGTTGCGTAAGAAAGTCCAGGATTAACTCGGGTTAAGACATTCTGACATGTCGCCGTAGAAGAAAAAGAAGAAGAAGAAGAAGAGGTGTAAATAAAAAGATGAACGGCTGATTTCTATCTTCACTTGCAGGGTCCTGTTATGCTGGCTCATTGTCACACTGTTACGTCTTACTGGGACACTTGAGGGCCATTTTTAATATTATTAGCAGTACTGTAAAAAGTCAAAATGTCTCCTGTGGAAAAAGAAAGGAAAGACCATTGAACACAACACTTGGCAGCTTTATTATTTTCCTACACACCCAGACTCCACTTATTTTCTGACTTGGTCTTGCCTGACATGTGATAACTTTATTTTGAAATTTGTCTCATGTAAGAGCATCAAGTACCCATAAATAAAAGTATCTCCCAGCAGATCCAACCATGGGGCATCTTTTTAGTGACCCTGTTGGTGTATCATCCACCTTGCCTATATCAATCCTTATCTCTAATGATGACTTAATTAGACTCAAACTAATGGCTTAAATGTTACTGAAACAACAATGAAGAGTTTCCTTATAGACAAATTTCATTCCCCCTTAAAATTAGTGTGTATCTTTGAGGTCTAACAAATAAATGTAATACTTTGGGATTACATTTGGAGAGCAGATTGAAGCTCGTAGTCTTCATCCATCACACCAGATATGCTTTTATTGTTGCTGCCAAATCACCGGAGTAGCACAAAAGTTTGATTCTTGTGTCTGTGTGTGATACAAACAAAACAGTCACCCACTTTCCCATAACAACATCGGCCACTAGTGACCAA